GATTGGTCAAAAATTCTGCATATCATGAAAATATTGCCACTTGATAATGACCATTAAATGAATTATCTATACATGTAGCAATGCAAACAAATGACCCTCAACCATGCAAGTAAGTGTTATGATATCAGAGTTTTAAATATGTCAAAATTGAATTTTGTTGTCCATTTTTGGAAATTCTATATTGTTTAATTTTTTGGCTACACAGATATTATGATGCAAATGACTTCTATGGATAAAGCACTAACAATGCCAACTACACCTCTGTGTATGCCTGTCACCTGTGAACTTCAGTGTAGGAATGGTCTTGCCACTGATATGCTTGGCTGTGAGACCTGTGCCTGCAAGAAACAAGGTATACCTACCGGGTAGATAGTATTCTCTTCAAAACTACTCAGCATGCCTGTGTATTGTATTTGTTTTCTTTTATTGTAGTATTACTTTATTATCTTTGTTTAGAAATTTAAAGTAGCAGTCAGTGAAAAATCGTAATATGAAACCGTAGTTAATGTGTAACCCTAGTCAATACCAAATCAAATTATGTATCAAAAATACATACCATACTTTTCATAAATGATCACTAAAATAACGTACCCATTGATACATACATTTGTATACATGTAGAAGATATTCAATCCGTAACTGTATTTATTAAACATTGAAATGTAGTAATTTTCATATGTTTCTATTAATTTTTAATAAATACGAAATTACCCAGTTAGGAATTTTGATATCCTGTTTATTACATGTATGCATTTCCAGTTGTTTCATTAGCAGAAACTAACATCCCCTTTGAATCTTTAAATACGATTTAAAACAAAAACTCTTATTGGTGAAACTGAACATTCAGATTGATCAAATAATTTTAACAAAAATTTGACTAATTATTAAACAAGCTATGTTTTAGCATTTTAGGAGGAGACTATTCTATGACATCACAATTTAAAATCTCATGCAAGAACCAATCAGATTTGCAGCTCAGGGGTTCAATATGAAAAAAAATATCGCATGGCCTTATGTCACTGCTACTGTATACATGTGATAAATAAAATTACAATGTAGATAATCTTATCAGCTTTTTACCTGCATGTGCTTTGATTTCAGATGCTGAATGTCCAGTTGTACTTGATAACATCAATTGTCCATTAAAAGATGTTTGTCCTTATGATTTAGCTACTAACATAAATGGATGTGAAATCTGTCAATGTAAACAGCCAAGTAAGTTATCCTTTTCTGTTTTCACTTTTTTTGCCACAGAAATCATATTCATGTTTGGGAGGTATGTAAATGTACGGTAAAACAGCCATTGCGAGCGTCGCTGCGAGTTCGCAATGGCGAAAAAACGGGCGATTGTGAATTCGCAATGGCAAAAAAACTGACGATTGAGAGTTCGCAATGGCAAAAAAACTGACGATTGAGAGTTCGCAATGCCACAAAAACAGTCGACTGAGAGTTCACAGTAAGACATAAAACAAAAGGCTGATTTATATTGTTGAGCGTTGCTGCAGTGGAAAATAGAAAACAGTTTTTAAATGTCGTGTGAACCATCAAAGGTATGTCGACAGGCAACCAATGGTAGATGTGGATTCACGCAACCCTTCTGTTACATTGTACCAAACATGAAGCGGAGAGATTTGACACAGCATAATAAAAGTCAAACTCTCTTGCGAGGACGTTTCATTTGATGAATTATTTGAGGGAAAAAACGTTGCGACAGGATGTAATTCACAGCGTTCCGCAGAACCATTGTATTCATAATTCGAATTGCAAAACAACCCCGAACGTGGTGTGCAGTCTGCAGACAGCGGTACGTTTCACCTGCAAACTGCACTGCAATCTGAATCATTACAAATATAAAAACCTGAGCATCATTTTATTTTTGTTACATATTTGTACATATTTTCCAGATAACGAGAAGTTTGTTTCATCATTGTATTATATTCCTGAGATCACACATAATTTTAAGTACGATGCGTCTTTTTTTACGAAATTGATAATTTTAAGCAGTCTCGAGCTTGATGCAGAAATGGAATTTCCCAAGTGGTTCAATTATCGCCTGTTTTTTCGCCATTGCGAACTCGCAGCGACGCTCGCAATGGCTGTTTTACCGTACATTTACATACCTCTGTTTGGGACTACATGACAGGGCTGTGCGGCCTATCAAATGGCAGTTTAATGAGCTATCCTGGCATCAACCAGGCTCGGTCGAACACAAGCACCTGCAGACCTTAACCAAGCCTTCCCATTGTGTCTGTGATATACACTCACCCAGGGTAGGGGTCGACCCTTTTGATGTTCAGCCTGAGGTAGGATTTGAACTTGGGTCTATCGATCATGATTCTGATGCGACAACCACTATGCTACCAGTGACCGGTACAAGTATTTAAAACGTTCACGGTCGCCTACAAGTCAGGTCGAAGAATAGTTTGCTCGTTTTCACTTGATTCCTGAGTAACCCATTCATGTATATATGTTTTGAAATACTGAGTTGATTGTAGTTTTCACTAATACATGTATTTTAACTTTCATTTATAATAGTCAACTGTGAACCGATGAGTGCACTGACGTGTCCTGAGACATGTGTTAATGGATATGCCACTGATGAGAGAGGATGTGAAATCTGTGAATGTAAAAAACCAAGTAAGTCTACATCTGTGTTAATCGAAGATGTGTCATTACTGTTTTGTTAGTCCACTCAGACAGTTTTGGGGGAGGGTGATCAAATTGAATCTTTGGTGATCACCTCTGCATACATCACGTACAATTTTTATGTAGATACCACTGAATTAAAAATCAAATTATTGTAATTATGTGTTTTTTATCGATATTCTAGTCTTGGAATGCTCTCCTATGACTCTTATGACTTGTGCAAAGACATGTACATATGGATATGCCACCAATGAACGCAGATGTGAAATATGCATGTGCAAACAACCAAGTAAGTACAGTACACTTTTAAAGTGAATGAAGGCAAAGAATGTTTATGAATTCTAGTAAACCACTATGTATATGATCCACACAGTATACACTATGCTCCCCTCACTATACACTATTATACACACCATATAAACTATGATCTATACACTATTACCCCCTTACTATACACTATGATACAATTCATACAAGCTATGATCTATACACTATGATCTACCTAATATACACTGCTTCCGTCACTATACACTATGATCCACCTAATACACTCTATGATCCACACATACAAACACTGTTCCAAATAATTTACATTATGGTCCTCATACCATATATTATGTTTCACACACTATATGATATAGATCATACACTGTATTTCACACACAATATACAATGATCTACACATTTTGTTTTTTTGATTAACTACGAATGACTGGTGGCATTTTGAATGTAGAATAGAATGTCTTTTTTTCACTCATCTGTTTCTCTGGTATTAAATAACAAATTATTATTTTTTTCTTTACAGCAACAACAGCAGTGACTATAATGAATACTCCAGTGTGTGAAGCGGTCAGATGCCGAATGTTCTGTCAGGAAGGATGGGCTACTGATTCTTATGGTTGTGATACATGCAAGTGTAAAAAAGCTGGTAAAATATTTTTTTTTTCCTTTCTTCAAGGTTTTCTAACAATAAGAAATGCTTACGAGGATACCTCAAAGTATGCATAAAGACAGTACAGCAGAAGTACTGACCGGTGTATAGCATAGGTTGATGCAACCACATACTGTCTGAGTGCATACTTTGCTGTGCCCTCATATTAACTTCGTTGGTGTATATCTCTTATACACCATTCTGTATTATTCATAACTTTACATTCCTTTATGAAATCTGCATTTTGTTGTGTACAGTGTACCTATTATTGTGAAAGCTACGTCTACATGTGAGTGACAATGTATTTATTCTGAAAGGAGTTAGATACACTGTTATATTATTCTGTTTATAGTTAATGAATGCCCAGTTATCACTGAAGAGATGTGCCCGATGAAGAAGCAATGTCCAAGAGGTCTGGCAACCAATGAAGATGGATGTGAAATCTGTAAATGCAAACTGCCAGGTACAAATAATAGATCTAGTTTAAATAAATAATACACTCTGAAAAATAAAAAATTTAGAAACAGCTAAATGTCAATAATTTGCAGTACATTTGAATTTTATTTCTGCTGTATGTTTGTGAAGAAAATATACAGTAGTTTAAAGTGGGAGGGTCGTCACCTGCGCATGTACGAGAATTTAGTCCCAAGCGACGATAACAATGGATGCTAAAATTGCGAAGACTCATGGATAGATGCTTGTTTGTAAACAATGACACGCTATGGTCATCTGACGCATGTGCAGGTGTCGACACCCTCGCATTAATACTTATCACATTGCATTCTGCAAGCCTCAACAGATAGCCAAAATGAATGGGGGGAGAAAAACGATGTCAGCTTCTGATGTGTCTTAAAAATCAACTATTAGAATACAATGTCACATTTTCACTTGTAATGTAATGTTTTCTGTTTTCACTGTCAGTGGTGTGTTTACCAATGGATGAATCTGCCTGCACTGAAACATGTCGTAATGGATTTGCTACTGACACTAGTGGATGTGAAATCTGCAAATGCAAGAAGATTCCAACAGGTAAGAGAATACAATGAACTTCTTAGGGGTTTTAAAGTCATGTAATATTCATGTCCAAGTAAGTCATCAAATCTGCCATCTTGTCTGTCCTAGTTTATATTTAGTCTAGTTACACTCACTAATACCACATTGTGTCAGATAAATTATTTGAAATACATATATATTTGTTTTGAAAAAAATCGCCCTTCTTAGCAAAACAAAAATTTTGTTTTTAGATATTGAGCAAAAAAAATACAATTTTAAATTAATAAAATTCACTTTACAACTAACAAAAGTATATGATGTGAGCATAGTCAAATGCCATTTTCATTGGGAAAATAAGTAACTGAAACCTGGACCTGGGAGCTGATTCATGATCTGACAGAATATTTCTGTTGTTTTGCAGCTGTATCAAAAAATCTCAGGAATAGTGATCTAGTGTGTCCACCAACATCATCTGAAACATTTGGTATTTGTTTGACTACATGCAGTCGTGACTCTGAGTGTGAATCTGATGAAATGTGCTGCAGTAATGGATGTGGTCGTATGTGTACTAAATCTGTCAGAGCTGGTAAGTGCTGGTCATCATTTTACTAAACATGCCACAGCTGGTAAGTGCTGGTTATATGTGTACTAAATCTGTCAGAGCTGGTAAGTGCTGGTCATCATTTTACTAAATCTGTCAGCTGGTAAGTGCTGGTCATCATTTACTAAACCTGTCAGAGCTGGTAAATGCTGGTCATCATTTTACTAAACCTGTCAGAGCTGGTAAATGCTGGTCATCATTTTACTAAACCTGTCAGAGCTGGTAAATGCTGGTCATCATTTTACTAAACCTGTCAGAGCTGGTAAATGCTGGTCATCATTTTACTAAATCTGTCAGCGATGCTAAGTGCTGGTCATCATTTTACTAAACCTGTCAGAGCTGGTAAATGCTGGTCATCATTTTACTAAACCTGTCAGAGCTGGTAAATGCTGGTCATCATTTTACTAAACCTGTCAGAGCTGGTAAATGCTGGTCATCATTTTACTAAACCTGTCAGAGCTGGTAAGTGCTGGTCATATGTGTACTAAACCTGTCAGACCTGGTAAGTGCTGGTCATATGTGTACTAAACCTGTCAGACCTGGTAAGGGCTGGTCATGAGTGTACTAAATCTGTCAGAGCTGGTAAGTGCTGGTCATCATTTTACTAAATCTGTCAGAGCTGGTAAGTGCTGGTCATCATTTTACTAAACCTATCAGAGCTGGTAAATGCTGGTCATCATTTTACTAAACCTGTCAGAGCTGGTAAATGCTGGTCATCATTTTACTAAACCTGTCAGAGCTGGTAAGTGCTGGTTATCATTTTACTAAACCTGTCAGAGCTGGTAAATGCTGGTCATCATTTTACTAAACCTGTCAGACCTGGTAAGTGCTGGTCATATGTGTACTAAACCTGTCAGACGCTGGTCATATGTGTACTAAACCTGTCAGACCTGGTAAGTGCTGGTCATATGTGTACTAAACCTGTCAGACCTGGTAAGGGCTGGTCATAATTGTACTAAACCTGTTCTGTATTAATTGTTTTTTCACAGATTCATTGTGCAAACTTGTAGACAAAGAAACATGTAAATTGGACTGTACGCATGGCTTTGCAACGGACTACGATGGATGTGAAATATGCATGTGTAAATCACTTCCATACATTACCTATAATGTTATTAAGATGACTCCATCTCCAATGTGTAGACCTGTTACTAAGGAGACATGTGCCAAGACCTGTAACCATGGCTATGCTACTGATGACATGGGATGTGAGGTCTGTGTTTGCAGAATACCAGGTTAGTTTCTGATGGTATTTTTATGTGAGTTGTGAAGCGTATCTCAATTCATTCAACTGTAAATCTTTTGCACATTCATATTTGATGAACATGCTCTTAAAATTATGCATGAAATAAGGTTATATACTTCTCAGCAACATGACATACCATAATCCTTCCATGACTTTTATCATCTTATTTCTTCAAAAAATCCATACACCTCAAAACATAACTAATGTAGAATGCTATATTTCCAATAAACATACCTTGAACAGTTAGAGGGTAAATATGCAATACAAATATTTAATAAATTTACAACAAGTTCCTATAAATTTCACATTGAAATAGAGAGATATACAGAACCCAAAACTAAGTTTGAAGATAGATAGTGTGAGTTTTTTGGGGATGAAACAGATTTCATTACAGAGTACTAGAAAAGCTTACTATGTATTTATGCTGTCTTCATCTATTCCTGGAATGTTCATAAATTGTAGATTTAATTTTCTAGTGAAAATGTCAGAAATGAATTCTAAGTGAAAATGAAAAATTCTCCTGTACCAAAGTCTTCTCAAGTTTGAGACGTTTTGATCATAATTTCATCATTTTATTTTTGTAGACATAGATTGTCCAGTGGTTAATGAGGTGACCTGTCCCTTGAAGCATACCTCACCATATGGACTTGCTACCGACCACAATGGTTGTGATATCTGTATGCAAAGACAACCCATCATGTGCACTCCAAATACATGCTCCACACACTGTGTTGATGGATATGCTACAAACGACAAAGGATGTGAAATCTGTGAATGCAAGAAACCAGGTGACTTTAGTTTTATTTGTTCTTTCGACTTTATTTTATTCCAAAAAAATTAATTTTCTTCTTACTTTCCAAAGTCATTCAGAAAATGTAAATAAGTGTGTGGTCACTGAAAACATTTTAAAAGGACTGTTGTTTTTGTGCCTATGGCAAATGTATTTTCACAATTTGATAAAATAACTTTTGTGCATTTTTATGTATTTTTTATATTTTTTTTTTATTTTGAACCAATGGCTACAGATCTTGGTAAATATTTTTGAAAATTATAGGTATATTTTTTTGTGTGGAAGATGATAAAATGTAACTAGATGATGAAATGTAACTAAGTACATCATTTCATTTTATTGCTGCATGTATTGTGAAGAAGAATTGAACCTTTGACCTTTAAACACCAAACCCAACTTTTGTCACTTTCTAGAAAATAAATACCTAATTTTCAAAAAGATCTGTTGACATAATTTAAAAAATATTTTCAAACATTTTGATCAAAATCTGTAGGCAGTAAGAAATGATGTTTTATTAGAATTTAATTTTTGTTTAAAATTGTTGCAAGGAAAATAGAGTTTACAAGTATGTCTTTGATTTACAGCAATAATTTGTCAGACTGTCACAACTAAAAATTGCCCAAACATGGCATACTGTCCAAATGGCCTTGCAACTAACCCAAGCAGATGTGAAATATGCAAATGCAAGATGCCAGAAGGTAAGGGAATCCCTAACTATTTTTTAATTATTTTTAATTTTATGTAGCTTAACTTTGGTTGGATCAATCATTGTCATCCAACAAATGGAAACATGAATAAAAAAATAAAATCATTTTATTTTCAGTGACAACTTTATTGAGTATGGAAACAAGCATGACATCAAGTAACAAGAAAATTATCAGTTACAAACCAGAAACTGTTACGTGCCAAAAAGTAACCCCATTGTCTTGCCGTAAGACCTGTCACTATGGTTATGCAACCGATACTCAGGGTTGTGAAGTCTGTGAGTGCAAGCAGAAAGGTTAGTTACTGTAAAATACTTTATTTTTGCTGAAAAGATTTTTTAGGTGTTCTGTATGAAATTTATTTTCACTGATTTTTGACAAGTTGAATGTAAAATATAGGAAAAAAGGTGTATTCACTGGAATTTATTTTCACTGAATCATTCCTTCAGCGAAAATTAATTCCAAGCAAAAAAATAAAATATTATACAGTATGTCACATATCATTAGAATGTTATTTCTATGTACACCCACCCCCTGAGTGGAAATCTACCTCATATTGTACAGCTTTACTTCAAACATGGTTACCACAGTGCAGATAAAAATTAAATGATTCAAATATATAATAAAACAATGATATTCCAGATTAATTTTATCCCAATTCAGTGTATATTGAATTGACACTGTTTTATTGATTGAATAATAAAAAGTCATCATTTGACTAAGTTTATTATATGATTACTCAGTATAAACACATGCGCTTGCTTTGAGCTTGACTGTATAAGATAAGATAAATGCTTGACATTACAGTTTCAGACTGTTCAACAGTACATGAGTCCAGCTGTCCAGAGAAAAACCATTGTTCATATGGATTGAAAACCAATGTTGATGGCTGTGAAATCTGTGAATGTAAACAACCAGGTAAATATCATGATAATAATGATATAATAATTTATATAATACTCAGATCCTGCAATGTACATATTTTTGAGTTGTGTATTGTTTCAGAGTTCTTGGTTTTCATGGTGGGGGCTCATGACATGTCCATACGGTATATTTCTTGTCAGCCAATGGAATTCATTGTGTGCCCCCCCCCTGTTTTGCCAAAGTACATGTAATAAACTTTATTTGTCATGTAACTATTTGTGTTTGTGTCATAAACTTGTTACTTAACTTTTAATATATTTATATCTTGCTTACAGTTATGTGTACTCGTTTATCCATGAACACTTGTAAACTCACTTGTAAATATGGATACGCTACCGACATAGACGGGTGTGAAAAATGTGAATGTAAAAAATCACGTAAGTAATAATTTCATTCTATTAAAGCAGGGGAGTCATCACCTGCGCATGCGTCAGATGGCCATAGCGTGTCACTGTTTACAAACAAGTGTCTACCCATGAACCTTTGCGTTTTTAGCGTGTGTTGTTTTCGTCATTTGGGACTCAATTCCCACGCGTGTGCAGGTGACAACCCTCTCGCTTTAAAGTGCTACTTCTGTATATGACTTCAGATAGTGAAAATTGGCAGATCAGCCCTTGATTTATTATTTTACATGTAACATTTATCCTAATAAAGTTGATCTTTCAATTCACAGCCATGGAGTGTACTCCCATCAATCCATTGACATGCAGGAAGACGTGCCAATTAGGTTTAGCCACTGACTTGAACAACTGTGAAATGTGTAAATGCAAACAACCAAGTAAGTCTTATCTCAAATAGTATGTGTCACATGAAGTTTGTTTGAGTAAATTCTCTAATTTTGATGAATACTTTTGTCATTTTTGGTTAAAATTGATATTTTTGACTTCTTGTTAAAAACAACAAGTCCGATTGCTTTGATATTATACATATAGGTACTACAGGTAGACCTCTCTCAGATTTGTTCATTTTCTTATGATATCTTCAATTTTTTAATTTAAATGTGCATTGCTAGCAGCGGAGCTATCTCAGCTGAGAGGCTGCTTGTTGATATAACCATGATGTTGAATGTTCGTATTCTGAATTTAAAAGTGCAATTTGAAATACATTGTACTTCAAAATTCTGAACTATATATTTAGTCATTTGGTTAGGGTACAGGCACACAGCTTTGAGCAACAACAAGTTGCTGAGATGTAATCAAATAGAATATCACATGAAAATCTGACACTTGAAAATTGCCTGTTGTCACGTATAAAGAAAAAAAAAAACGGCGTATTTAGAATGATTTTCAAAATAAAGGGGTTGACCATCAGAAACTTGGAGGTTGGTGGGGTGATGAATTGAAAAAAGATAACAATCTACACAAAAATAATCCTGAAAAATAATACTACAGGGAAAAAAATGTATTTATAAAAAATAAATATTGCCACTATGACTGATGGTGAGTTTATATTAAACGTTTCATTGTCTTTCATTCTAGCTGTTATTGTCAATATGAATTCCACCAACCCACTCCATACTACCAGTTCAGTCAACAAAATGTTTGGTGTCATGGCATCTCATTGGATACCATCCGTGACCTGCTCACCTTTGACCTCAATGACCTGCACTAAAACATGTCCAAATGGATACACAACAGACACAGTTGGATGCGATATCTGTGAATGCAGAAAATCAAGTGAGTCCTGTAATCTGAATAATATGTATTTAATATGTTAGGAATCTGAATATTTATCAGAAGACTATTATTGCTTGAATAATAAATAAATTGTTGCAAAGTCTAATTATAAGAAATTATTACTAACAGCAAGTCTCAGAAGTATTGGCTGCCCCAATGCTTCTGAAACTTGCTGTAAAATGTAACTCAGTAGGAATTGGATGCCTAAAACATCTGAACCCCGCTGTCGACATCTTGGTTACATGTGTTTAACAATTTAGATTGAGATTGTCATTTTGTATTTGGATGACCAAATTTGACTCTGTGAACTCATTAGCAAACATGATTGAGTTTGTTTATGTATTAAAATATGCATGCCTTGTTCTGATGATGTTATTAAAGAGCAATGTCATAAACTGAGTATTATATTGTGGTTTATTTCATTCCACATGACTGCCTCTTATCCAATCAACATGGTGTTCCTGGATGAGCCTGTACTGATCACTGTTTTATGTATTTTAGAAACTGAGTGCCCATTGAGGAAACGTGAAGTCTGTCCATTGTTTGATCGTTATGTTTCTCTGAATGAGCCTGTACTGACCACTGTTTTATGTATTTTAGAAACTGAGTGCCCAGTGATGAAACGTGAAGTCTGTCCATTGGTTGATCGTTATTTTTCTCTGAATGAGCCTGTACTGACCACTGTTTTATGTATTTTAGAAACTGAGTGCCCAGTGATGAAACGTGAAGTCTGTCCATTGGTTGATCGTTGCGAATTCGGATTGATGACTAACACTGAGGGATGTATGATCTGTAAATGCAAACAGCCAAGTAAGTTATCAGACATTTGTTTTTGTTTATAACAATTTAAAAACCACTCAAAAGATGAAAATTGTGGGAGATTAATATGATTGAAAACAGAAACTTTAATTTTTAGAATAATTGGATGAAAACTGGTTGCTGTAAAGTACTTTATTTTCACGCAGAATTTGTTGTAGTTGAAGGGATGATTCAATGAAAATAAAATCCAGTGAAAAAAAGCTTTTTTCGTATATTTTACATTCAACTCATCAAAAGTCAAAATAACTTCATACAAAACAACTAAAATGTGTTTCAGCAAAAATTAATTCCAGCTAAAATAAAGTATTTCACAGTGTAATACAACTAATACAATTGGATGTAAAGTGATCGAACAGGAGCAATCACATGTACACTCAATTCTTTTCCTTTTCAAAAAAACTGAACACTTTTTCACTAATTCGTACCTTTCTACAAACCACTAGTGTAATAAAAAAAAACAGTAAACCAAATAGCCATATGATAATACAATAACCGTAATTAATTTTTTTTATTTTCCAGGTCTGTGCAACATAATGAATATGAAAATGAAGAAGACTGATTGTATCTATGGTTACGCAACTGATGAAAATGGATGTGAAACCAATGAATGCAAGAAACCTTGTAAGTAACTGGCTTCTGCATTTCACCAAGCTGTGTATATAGCTATGGAGTTTTCTTTTGACACATTTCTCAGTCTCAAAATTAAAAACGCCTGAAGGAACCAAAATACCCAGTATTTACTGAAATGTACTCATCATCACATGTGTCCCAAAACACTGACTAATATGTTAGAATGTCAGTGGAGATTAACATGAAAATAACATTTAATGTTTTCCTACGTTGTTTTTGCAGTACATGAATGTTCTTCCATGACCTGTGACCTTAAATGCACACATGGATATGCAACTGACATGACAAGATGCAACGTCTGCAAGTGTAAACAACCAAGTAAGTTTTATAATATTGTAAATTGATTACATGTTGATTACCATATTTGTTTTGTTAAATCACCCAATAAAAGTATGTATTGTTCCATTACAAGCACAACCTTGTTAGCTGATGTTGTCCTGTCCATTTATATAAAAAAATTATTCTTACTTGTGATTGAAAAATGTACAAATACAAAAACAAAATGTAAAAAGTCTAGAATTTTGAGGTATAATTAAAATGTGAAATGTTGCATGAAAATGAAAGAGCATATAATAATATAGTAGCTGTGCCACTTTATTAATTGCTAAATTTATTTTGAACATGATCATTGGTGTTAATTATGTCAACATGGAAAGTCAAAGAATAATTTAAATAAAAATATTATTTAATATTCGTAATGTTGGGAATATTGACATTTTTAAAGAAACTTAATTTTTTAAGCATTACCTATTGTGATTTTAACTTTATAATAACATTTTAAGCTCCACTGTCAACTTTTTCAAGCAGAGCTTATCATATGATATCAATAGGTGATTTTCCGTACAATTGCGAGATCTCGCGAGATGCATGAAAGACGCACATCGAACGTCTGCTGTAAAAATCGAACGATTTGATTTTCAACTCGAATTTCTTTATTTCGTAGCTCACATCGACCGGCCGATCTTCGACAGAGGAATATTGCTTCCGAATACCCTCACTTAATCGAAATTGTCTATCATCAAATGTGGACAGCACATTATTAAGCATGGAAATGTCCCCCAAAATACTTTCGCGTTTGTTGAATCCCACGCGATGTTTGATGCCACTACGACGCTATGACCTTTGTTTGTCCTGTTTTTACATTCGATTTCACGCATAACGCGTGATTCTCGCAGTGAACGGAAAATGGTCTATTGACGATATCTTCAATTCTCTAATTTTGATGAATATTTTTGGTAAAAAGTGATATTTTGACTTCCGACAAGTCCGATTGCTTTGGTACTTTCTCAGATTTGTTCATTTCGTGATGATATCTTCAATTCTGATGAATAATTTTGTCATTTTTGGAAAAATTTTGAAAAATTGATGCCTCTGATATTATACATATAGGTACCTCATGTGAACCGATCTCAGATTTGTTCACTTCATGATGATATATCTTCAATTTTCTAATTGAAATGTACATTGCTTAAGAGGCTGTTTGTTAACAATAATAATAAATGTATTTCATTTTTTTTTTACAGAAACCCCTGTGGATTTCCTGACATATTTCCCTACAACTTACAGTACTCCAAAGATGCTGCCCACTACCAATATGGACATCCCATATATGCGTATCTTTGAAGAACTCTGTCATCCAGTCAACCCTACCACTTGTACTTTGAAATGTGTTAATGGATATGCTACTGATAGAACAGGCTGTGAAATCTGCAAGTGTAAGAAGACAGGTATGTTTCTATGGAAACGAACTGATCATTTTTGAAACTGTTTTAATTTAACCACAAGATATTGTACAATTGCAATATGCTGTGAATTGTGAATATCTCATAGTATATCTGGCTGCAGCCATGATTTTATTTTAAATGTAATTCTGAGACATGAAAATAACTAATAAAGCACAAAAATCTATGTGTAAATGTGATTCAAAACAAAATGAAATGGGCCCTGGAACCAAATTGGTTATAGAAACATTGAGCTGTGGTGGAAATTTGCATCCCTTTTTTGGTATTATGAAGTTTATTCATTTTATATATAGTTTCCTGTTAGCGGCAACGTTGGCATATGTAAAATTGTCTCAATTGTCATAAAAAATACAGTGTAAACAAACAGTACTTATTGCCAAGTACAATCATGTATTAGATTACAAATATAAGTTTTTGTCTAACTCATACACCAGTTTTGTATTCCAATTTGCAACTAATATGTAAATAATATGTAAATATGTTATGCTTTATTCTTCACTACAGAAGCTGAATGCCCCGAGTTATCTATCCATATTTGTTCTAAAAAGAGTACCTGTTCCTATGACTTAGCTACCGATGAGAATGGCTGTGAAATTTGTGCCTGCAAAAAACCAGGTAAAATAATTTACATAATGTGAAATAACAGTTTCATGGTTTACTGAACAAAATTTAGCCCACTTATTTAGTTAACACTGAAGGTATTCCCAAAGAAACGGTGCCTTCAATTAGAATGTTTCCTAACTGCTTTGTGTAAGTTAACAGTTTCATGGTTCCCATGTCTCTGAAACTGTTTCAGACTTTCCATTTTGTTTACTAAATATGTACCACTTACTGTGTGCATTTGTGCCAAAAACAGCCCACCTATTTAGTTACCAATGAAAGTGCCTACATTTTCCAATATCTGCTTTTTATTTTTTGTAAATTTAACAGTTTCATGACTACCTATTTCAGTGGCTGCTCATTGACTTCTCATACATTGTACTCTTTCAGTAAAAGAACATGACCTGGGAATCCAAAACAAGTTTAATTTGAATCTATACATTATGTTTAATTTTCAGTGACTTGCCCACCAGTGAACCATTATACTTGTCCTAAAGTGTGTCACTATGGTTACGCTACTGACCATACTGGCTGCTCCATCTGCCAATGTGTTAGCACCAGTAAGTATAACACAGATTGTACTTCCTGTAAAATAATATACATGTATCTTGAAAAGTTCACCAATCAATTATAATTCTATGCAAATATCTCTAGTTCATGAATTATTTGGTACTTTTTGGTTTATATGTATAAATGAAATAGAAATTGTACCATATTTGTAAGTATGTCAAAGATTTATTTGTGTTTGATATTAAGGTTCCAAATGTCCAACTATCAATCCATTTACCTGTCTGAAGACTTGTAAAGATGGTTATGCCACAGATGAGGAAGGCTGTCCAATTTGTCGCTGCCATCAACCTAGTAAGTATATTTTGCAATAAAACAATTTGCTGTAATTTCTTTTAATCAAATAGAATTTGTTAATTTACCTTATTTGGGGGTAAGCTGCATCACAAACATTGAACAGATTCCAAATTATGTATGTCATTTTCATCCAAACACTTTCTTTACTTACATTGAAAGGATCAGAATAAAGTGCATGATGGAAATATAAATCAAGTACAATTTTGTAATGTATCTTTTTGGACATTCCAGTTGTTAAATTATGACTACAAGTGGAAAAAAGATGTAAAATAATATGGTTATCGTGAGAAAGTCGCAACGTATGCACTTAGGCGGTACTGGAATGCACCAACCTCAATTACGTTTCTGCTGATATGATTACTTCAATGCCTTTGTGCAAAATTTGTGTTGTGATCACCTCATGATAGTACAATTTATCTCAAAGCTTCTTTTAATGAACATACAATCAAAAAAATATCCGCTTTCAAATGAGTTTCTTCTCATTTAGTAAATATTTCACAGTCACTTATGTACATGCGAATATTTCAGTCACTTAATTGATATGTACATGCTAATATTTCAGTCACTTATTTGATATGTACATGCTAATATTTCAGTAAGCAAGATGGGCACCTCTATGCAGATGTTCTTGCAAAATAAAATGGATAAATGTCCTGAATTTGAGTGTAAAACAGTCTGTCAAAATGGATATGCTACCAACAGCGAAGGCTGCCATATCTGCTCCTGTAAGAAGACCGAACGTGAATGTGCCCACACTCCCATGTGTAGCGAACACTGCCCTCTTGGGTTTGAAACAACAGAAGATGGTTGCTCCACATGCACATGCAAGAAACCCAAGATGTGCACTCCAGTGAATCCAAATACATGCACTAAAGTCTGCCCACGTGGCTATGCCACAGATATACAGGGATGTGATGTTTGTCAGTGTAAGAAATCAGGTATGTTTTAAATACTCATTCAATGTTGTTGTTCACATTTACCAAGTCTCCTTAATAGACTTTTACTAATGTAGTGCCACAGTAAGCACATTCCATCACATCAGGATGTTCTAGGTTTGATTCCTGGTGCCCACTGTTCACTCAGCATTATGTACCATCGATCTGCTTCGCCTTTGTGTGACTTAATCACCTGTGCTCTTGCAATCAGTACTAAACGGATATCGAGAGAGACAGCAAGGACTTCAAGGTCTCGCAAATTCATTTGGACCATAAATATAAAAAAAAAAGTTGTATATGCATATGTCTCTATTCCAGTTTGTGTTTCCAGTTTGTCTGGCTGAATCTTTTTTTATGGGATATTATTTATAACTATGTTTATAACCAGCCAAATAGATTACTGTAAAACACGTCTTTTTAGCTAGCATATCAATTTAGAATAAAGTATATTATTGCAATGGGATTGTTGTCATTTTAGCTATGAAAATTAAGATTTTGTTAGTCCCCGGGGACTCCGTGTGTGCGTGCGTCTGTGCGCGCGTCTGTGCGCGCGTCTGTGCGTGCGTCCGGACCTGTATCTTAGAACTGCCTAGACCAATTACAATCAAACTTCACACATACATCATACATGATATTATACATATGCACGTCAATTTGTTTCACAATCTGATTCAAGATGGCAAAATCAAGCATTTCTCGGCTGTTTACAGATGGATTTTGTTAAAACTTGGTATATACATTAGAAATTACAGGACCTTGTTAATTCATGTATGGAGTCAAATTTGCTAACATGGCATGGAGCTATTTCAATGTGTTTTACAGTATTCCACCCAGTCCAGTGCCATTATACAGAATTGTTGCTTGAATGTATTTTCATGTATTCTATAATTTGTTGATCATAATAATATTTTCTTTACTGCACAGTGACTGAATGCGCACGAAGCATGGTAGATCTGCAATGCATGTTGATTAATGAATGCCCATATGATTTAGCAACTGACATGTATGGATGTGAAATCTGTCAATGTAAGATGCCACCACTAGTACCTAAGAAGACTGTTACCTGTTCTCTCATTACTCCCGAGACCTGCAGTGAATCATGTGACAATGGTTATGCCACCGATGACACTGGATGTGAAATCTGCAAATGTGCACGCCCAGGTAGGTTTGTTATAGATTATAAATTTCAAACTACTCATTAAATTCATATGCAATTTAGTGACTACTGAATAAATAAACTGAGATACTGGTTTCACACCTGTAATTTAAGTTGTGTCTTCGGTTAGATCGGTTAGGAAGCACTGTAAAGCCCTAACAAAATTTGGCACTGAGCTATTTTTAATTATTATTAATTAAAGCTATTATTAATTGATTAAGATAAATATTAATCTTAAAAAAGTGATGGTCATCACTGCTGCATTCATTCAATACACTATGCAAATATTTATACTAAGCAATTCAATTTCCTTCCCTCAGAGAAAATTTGGCACTGAGCTATTCTCTAAAAATAAGTTAACTGGAATACTCAAGGATGATGGTCATTGCAACCACATTCATTTAATATAATTTACATACATTGTATTAGCATGTGTGTCAAATACTGTACATTGTTTATTTACAAAAATTCTAAATTTCTGTGGCTGCGATAACTTTGCCTTTTATGGAATGCACAAATTTTAGGCAAAAAGTTGACGGGATGAAGTTTTGTTATGCATATGGTAATGTCACTGAGCTAACACATCAGTTAATCTAATACACTGACAGTTGACCACCCATTTATTATTAATATTTCAATGTTCACTTCACAGATTATGAATGTTCTGTTATGCGTGAATCTACCTGCCCAATAATGAATAAATGCATGTATGGATTGGCGACTGATATGCGAGGATGCAGAATCTGTAAATGCAAGATTCCAGGCGAGTAGTTCTTTCATCAATCTCAATATTTCGTTCAGCTGAATTTTGAAAGCCAGGGTTTTAGATAACATTCTATGCATCCATCTATGTATCCACACCTGTATCTCAGACATGCCAGAAATGATTATGTTCAAACTTCACACATGCATCGTACATCTTGGGATACAAATGCACATACATTCATTTTTATTATCCATTTAATTTTATCAAAATATAATATCTCTGCCATTCAGGAACTGGTTTTTGAACGTGCATCAAAATATTTGCTCAAACTTGGTACTTACATATGACATGGCAACTTGATGCATGTCTTAATTTTTGTTTTGAAGATCATTTTCAAAATGACCGACTAGTGGCCATTTTGTTTTAAAGAAAACTTTTTCATCCTTTTGGAACTGATTCAAATATTATATACGTTACATTATGTCATGTTCTGATGCTGATTCAAAATAGTTCCCTGGGTTCAGATTTTTTGTATGACAGGGACTACGTCATGTCAATGACTAGTTCTCCATAAATATTTGTTGGGAAATAAAAAACAATTTTGTTTTTTAATACAAATGATATTGTAAAAAGTTTTCTCACACTTAAAGTTGATTTTGTGAAACAAACCTGAAGTTACATGTCTAAGCAAGCATTGATAACTCGAACAATTGCTTATTATTATAAATGTAAATAAATGTAAATGTCCATAATATTGAGTTTTCAAATGACCATAATATGTTTGTTATTCTTACATTTATAGCCGTATGTCCAAAAATGACTTGCACTTCACGGTGTGCAACTGGATTCGCTACTGATGATAATGGATGTGAAATATGTCAATGTAAGAGAGAAAACACTGACATGATCTGTCAAGAAATCACGTCTGATAACTGTCCTAAAACATGTGTACATGGATTAGCTACTGATACCAACAAATGTGAAACATGCACTTGTAAAAAACCATGTAAGTATCAATAGATCTTTATAGATGTTCTATGATTGCCATCAAAGATTTATGCCTACCAATAGCAACCCCAATATTACTCTGTTTACTTCTGTTTGGTTCGTGTCATACTGTAAATTACTTTATTTTCGCTTGGATTTAATATTTGCTATTTTCGCAGAAGAAATGATTCAGTGAAAATACAATCCAGCGAATATACCTTTTTCCTATATTTTAACATTCAACTCGCCAAAAATCAGTGAAAAAAAAAATCCAAACAAAACACCTGAAATGTTTTTCCAGCAAAAATTAATTCCAGCTAAAATAAAGTATTTTACAGTAATAACTTTATTGAGTAATATTTTTTACAATTAATGCAACAATTACCATTATTTGCAACATATAAAATGCACACTAGACTTTTTGAGTTGTTTCTTGTATAGCCATTAAAACCCCCCTCTTTTTTTGAATTTAAAGGTTGACAATTTATGTTATCACTGTCTCTAAGCAAACATCAAACATTACGT